TCCTGCTGTGACCAGAACTCATGTTCTTAATATTAATGACCTCGTCTGTTTAGGAACTGGCACTTGATAATTATTTCTTACCTGTAAATGATGCTACAGATGCTTTAAACATTAAAAATTAAAATTGATGTATAGTGCTTTAGATATTGCATGAGCTGTTAATTTCATGGGAGAAGACAAAATATTTTAATTAATAAATTAATTGTAATATCTCAAGTATTATACTTGATTTGAACAGATTATTCCTGTGGGTAGTAATTTTTACAAACAAGGAGTGAGTTCTACTAATTCATAGAAGACTATGCCTTCTGCTTTTTTAAGATATGTTTGATTTAATCCAAATAAAACTCATGATTTACAAGTAGAGGTAATAGGTTTTGATAAAGTGGGCCATCACATGACCAGACCCATTTTATTATAGAGGCAATTGTTAAGAAAACACCACAATCATTAAGCAGTAAACACGAATTTCTGGCAAAAAAAGTGGTAAATCACTGAGATATGACCACGGAGCACTACAAACAGCAATAAATGCAGGCCAGTTGCCGAGCATCTGAACTGTGTTCACATGATTATGGGAGAGACAAGTCAGAACTTTGAAACCAGTCATAAACAAATTTTGGAGGCTCCATCATAGTTTTGAATGGCTATATAAATTTAATTAATAAATAAAATAAATTCTATGCTCTAAAAATTACTCAGTAATTCAGTTCTCATTTAACAACTAGGGATTAGAAAGAAAAATAAACTTTGCCCTTTGATATAAATCCACCATATTTTCACTTTACAAATCAGTATATGAATTTCACAATTTTCTAAAACTATATACCAAAATCCACATACCAGGAATGATATTTACAAGAATGCATCTACAACATTATAGATACAAAAATACAAAAAGGGCTATACAACAAAATAAATGATGTATTGAAGCATACACATAGATTCACAAAGCATGTGTGTGAAACGTAACAAATATGAACTATGTACAAATTTTAAAATGTACTTCTAAAAATGATGCAAATTATACGGAAGAAATGAAGAAAGTGACATATCTTTCCATCTCTAGCAGCACTATTTCTCACTTTTGATCTTTCCTGCATATCATTTCATATAAAAGCAAGATAATATAAAGGATAGGCATACTGAACATTTGGTTACAAAATTACCCCATGCCGCAACTATAAATGAGCATATTTATTGATCTATAGCAGGGGTGTCAAACTGCCGGCCTCCGGGCCGGTTGCATCATGCTTAGGCCGCCTCCACCCCAGCTCCAGCAATGCAAAAAAAGTCATGATACGTCGTGACACGTGACATGGCAAGTTTGACACCCGTGATCTATAGGAACGGTTACTCCTGAAGTCTACTGGAGTCATGAGGTCAGTAATGATTTTCAGCTAAGGCTCTCAAAGTTGATTCAAAAATCTGATAAGGGTGTAACTTGTATATCTTTCAGCTTTTTGAAAATACAAGAGTTGATGTGAAGCTTAATTTTTCCATAGAAACAGAAAATCTTGAAGAAAGATTTGGGGACTGCAGAATAAAGCATCCATAGGCCTTGTACTGTTTCCTTTTGCATTTGGTTGCAGTTACTTTATAAGTAATTGATCTCATTAACTGTATAAGGCTCTAACACCTGGATTCAGAGGCACTTTTTTTCGCTCATTACATAGTATGAGCAACTAGTTTGTGCCTTAGGAAAGCATAGCAGGATTGAGAATCCTCTCTGGAATTGATCCACAACTATGGATAAGGATATATTTTACTGAAATATCATCACATCTGCATCTTCCTGGAAAGTTTGCATAATAACAAAAAGGCAGGAATCTTTATTAAAAAGATGATGTGTCATCCTTGCAAAAGGTTCTCTCAGTGTCCAAGTCAACATCAAATTTTGTTCCTACATCATCCCAACCTAGCATAGGATGAGGCCAGGCCCCGGGCAGAAAAGGACAAGCCATTAGAAAGTAACTGCTACCTTGCTGACACCACTTGATGTCACCTGATCAGGAAGACAAATGAGACCTTTGTGGAGATTACACTGAGGGATGATGTAAGGAGCAAGACATTTAGCTGCCTCATTTTTTGTACTAAATCAGTTCAAAGGCACTGAGCCATGAATGTTTGTTCCAACTTCAGTGTTCAGATATTGCACAAAAAAGCATACAGGTAGGCAAAAGACAGACCTGTGGCAAGGAGAGGCATCCTTAAATACAATGCTTGGCAGGTGGGTAGGCAATTGGAGATCATTACCTGAAGATGCTCAGCTAACATCTAAACCTGTGCTTGCAAGATAGTAGTGGGGCACTAAACCAACAAAACCAACCCCATCATTATTGTATCCTTAAGAAGAGCAAGAAAAAATAAGCAGGAACTAAGAAATGAAATTCATAGTAAAAAAAACCCTCTTTAAATCTGTCAGAAGAATTAAGTCCCATTAGATTCAACTAGACTTCTAATAAGTGGGTGTATGATTGCACTCAATTTCATAAATTTGGGAGCTTTTGAAGTAAGCAGCCCTGTCAATTCCTCTAAAAAGAAATGGCTAAAAGAGACAACAGAGAGAGGGGCTAAAGCGTACATTTTAAAGAAGGAGAAGGGGAGAAAAACACATCCAATATATGGTTTCTGTCAACAATACACTTGTGGCTACCTTTTTTTAAAAAGAAATACAGTAAATACGTTATTTTTTTCACTGGAAAATCACAATAAATCAAATTATTTGACACTGTAATTTTTGACAAGTTTTCCAGCAAATTTTCAGTCTGCCCAGCACACTAAGATAATGTCTTTTACTTTATGTCTGTATTGATGCCATAGAAATTCTATGATCACACACTTATAAAACAGAAACCTTACATAAAAGGATAAAAGAAGGTTTTTCCCACTTGCAAGTTACTATTACCAATATATAAAATAAATGCTTGGATATGGAAAGTAAAATCTGAAGTCAACATTTCTTTAAAACAGACAATATGTCTGTACATAGTGGACATTTTCATGTATTTCATATTTCAAAGGGATGCTTCTAGAATGAATTGTGTTATCCATATAAATAAACAATATAATATTTTCATCAGAAGTCAAAATCCTCTTCATCATAAACATATACTTTACTGTAGAATCTAAATGTAGCTGTGACTATATTTTAAAATGTTCTTCATTTTATATCACTTAAATCAGGGCTTTTCAACCTTTTCACCCATTATACCATTTTTAGGATATGGCAATATCTGAGTACCACCAGTCGCCTAGCAAGGTGTCAAAAACTTGATGACAAAAAAAAGGAAAAAAACTGATGAAGTACAGGTAGTCCTCGACTTACAACAGTTCGCTTAGTGACTGTTCGAAGTTACAATGGCACTGAAAAAAATGCCCCCAAGCCACAGCCAAGCAAGACACCTGCCTGCCCACCCGGCGGCACTCTTTCTCCTGTCCGAGATTTTCATTGTTGTGAGCATTTCTGTTGAGGATTGGCAGGGGGGGTGGGGTGGGGGGTGTTTGGTTTTTATTCCCCCCGTCTGCTGGGTGATTGCAGCAGGTTTTGGTCATTTCACATGACCCTGGGACACTGTGACCATCATAAATATGAATCAGTTGCCAAGCATTGAATGTAAATCACAAGACCCTGGAGATGCTGCAACATTCCAGCTGATCGGCGCTTCTTCTGGGCTCAGCAGAAGCGCCAGGATCAACACCATGCTCCAGCTGGAGCCTGGCGCTGATCCTGGTGCTTACACTGAGCCCTGACAGCCCCGAAGAAGCACTGATCCTGGCGCTTCCGCTAAGCCCTGACAGCCCTGCAGCTCCAGCCATCTCTCGCTCAGGCTTGTGTGGTGCTGCCACCGGTTCAGCTCATTCCCCTCCCCTGCTACCACTTTTCTAGGATGGTCATGTACCACCTGCCAGGTGCCAATGTACCACAGGTGGTACCCATACCACTGGTTGAAAAGCCTTGACTTAAATGGGCTTATATTATCAGAAAAAATTAGACTAATGTTAATAAGCATTTTCAGCTAGCACGAACTATTCTACAATCTATCTTGAGAGGGATGTTGTCCTCTAACTTCAGGATTTAAAGTAGATGGCAATCAAGTCCTTCCTGTCCTATGATTCTATGGAAGCTTTTCCACTTCAAAGCCTTTTTTTACTGCTTCGAAACAGATCTATATATAACAACAAGGAATTTTATCATTGTTATCTACATGCTGTGGAATGGAATCATAGTCATTGCAAACTTCAAATCAGAAGTTCTCAAACAGTAGCAATTTAGAGAGAGATGCTGCATTTTTCCAATGTTAATATTGTATGCTGATATATGACCACAGCCGAAGGCCTTCAGAAATTAGATTTTAAATATGATGCCAAACATTATCCCAAAGTTGGAGGCAAGATAACTCTGCTAATCTGAAGAAAAGATACCACTGTTAAAACAATAAAATATCTGGCTATACAAAAATCAACTAATTGTATCAATTAACCAACAACTATTATGTTAAAAGTTAAATCAGAAAACAGCAACACCTATAGTTAACAAAGATATTTCTTTTTTAAAGGAAACTAATCGTGGCCTTATTGGGGAAAACCTGTATATTTATATCCAAGAAAAAGATCTATTAAACTTGCTGCTTTCTTATTCATTATATTCAAGCATACAACTTAGCCATGGTTTAATACAGGGAAAATTATTGCCCTCTGATTCTGCTGAAAGGTCTTGCTTTCATTTTAGATAAGCTGTAAATTGATATGTTCTCCAAATTCAAAATAATAGTTCGTGAATCTGGATTATTTTCTTTAACCTTACCCAAGATTAACCACAAACCATCTCAAGAAAAAAATAAGCTGAATCTGGCAGAGATGGGAATCATTTATAAATAGAAGCTACTATAATTTAGTATAATAGTCAAACCAACCCACAGTACAATCTCAAAAAGATCATACATAAGGAAAGCTGCCCTAAATGATGACTCAAAATGTACCGCCCCTTCAGGACATACCATCCTATGCTGAGTTGAGATAACACTGTTCCAGTCTGAGTCTGGTTGAATTGTAGTGACTAGAGCTGGGAGCTCTTCAGAGTGAGGTTTGTTGTGCAATATGGTGTGCAGAGGCAGATGGGAAGTGACAAGTTCTTCATTGTTGTCTTCTTCCTGCTCCTGTGATGCTAAGTCCTGGATTGTTGTTCCCTCTCCATCAGATGCAAATGGAGAGGTGGCCTGCTTGGAAGACATTCTTCTACAAAATAAGCAAAGGAAATACACAGATGCTTTTTATTAAATAGAAAGATAGGACTATAAACTTAACAAATGCATTCTGAGGCAGAGAAATATGCAAATCGTAGCCTGCTTATCACGGTGCAAAAATGACCAACTAAGAGCTTGTTGGGGCATTATTATCCCAATAAATCATACATTTTATGGCAAACTTATTGTTGAGGGAGGCTGAAGGTTAAGGCACTCTGGCATGGAAATAGCTTCTTTCTATCCTACGTAGCACCAGACTTCCCATCCGGAACAAATTCTCAATTCATGGAGAAGCCTTTAAAGTTGACAACATTTGGGGCTCCAACAGATCACTGGGCTCTGCGCTTCCGTGGCCATTTGTGCTAACTAGAAGGTGGGGAATGGAAGGATTTATATTCCTTGCACATAGCTAGTCATTTGCATTCTTTTATAGAGTTGTTGAGGCCACTTGGAAGTTTATCTATGTCCTCGGGGTCACCTGGGTAGTGCAAATGGGTGTGGAACTTTCTTGGAACTGCTGAAAGGACTGTGTTCTCCTATATTTGTTCTCCTAAAAAACCCATCAGGGCAAGATTCAGCAGTCCATCTGCATTTAAAAGACAAAGGGCACTCTTTTGAAAACAGCAAAATCCACATTTTGGACAGAGAGGACCGCTGGTTTGAAAGAGGGGTCAAAGAGGACATCTGTGTCAAAATTGAACAGCCCTCAATAGAGGGAAAAGAATATGACATCATCTATCTGCAGTCTACAACACAATTCTTTCAGCATTTCCAAGAAAGCTCCACACCCATTTGCACTACTCAGGTGACCCTGAGGACACAGACAAACTTTCAACACCTCAACGACTCTCTAAAAGAATGCAAATGACCAGCTGTCTGCAAGGAATATAAATCCTTCCATTCCTCACCATCCAGTCAGAGCTGAAGAAGCTTCTTGGATGAGAAGTGAAATGTCTTCAAAGAAAAACAAGAAAGTCCAGGTACCTCTTGAAAAAGCAGCTTTGGGGTAACCATGACCTGGATGACTGAGAAACTCCACAGAGAGTCATCTTCAGAATTTTAAAGAAGTCAGGTTTCCTATCTATGTATAGATTAAAGCCGGTAGAAACTTCTGCCAGTCAGCATTAAATTGCACACACAAGATTCTATTATTCACATTGCTATTTAAGAAGATTTCCTTCCTAAAGGGAAATTAATTGTAATATATGAATCAGCTAATGAACGCAGTCAGACAGATGTCTTCTGCAACTGTAGTAAGCTATTCTAGCCAATTTTTGAATGCTTACTTTCATTGAGGTACTTTTCTTCAAGGGTCTGAAAATCACTTTTTAAAAAAAATTCTATCCATCAGAATATCAACAGTGGTTTCCAGCTCCTAGAAGAAGAGAGACAGCAATTCCAACAAGTTTTCAAATTTGATCAAGACAGCTACAAAAATTCTTGCCATTAGTTGATTTTGGAAAAATAAAACATTTGTGAGTTTTGCCCCTCAAATGATGACTCAATCATCCCAGTAACCTCTTTTTTTCTAAGGAAAACATTTTCCAACCTGCCCCAATCCAGAAGGTAGGGCCATTATAGTGTAACAAAGTCCTGGAATATTAATGCAGAAAAGTGATATAATCCTATGTGTATCTTACTGAATGATTTATAGCTTGAATAATTTTTCACAGTTATATAGGGTATCAATTTTTTTCTATTATACATTTCAAACAAGGGGCATAACATTTGGAATATAATGAAGTAAAAAGAAATATTAAAAATATCTCTATAACATCTGTTAATATCTCCACTATACATTTAACTTTTTGGTCTTAACCTTTAAACCTTTTCTACCAGAATAGAATGCTAATCAAATATAAATTATTTCAGTAAAAATTGAAATGTTGTAGAGATTATAAATTTTCTAAAATCTCAATATATATCATTTTTGCTAAAACTGTTTCAACAACTCTAGAATGAGGTCTCCACCTTAATTACTCTTTAATAATAATTGATTTCATACAATTTCCTTTAAAATGCGCAAATCAGTTAACAAGGGAAACCACATGAGCATTTTCCAAATTAGCAAATCATTAACTCAGTAGTACTGTTTCTATAGACAAATAATTACTGATTAAGGAGCCTGGAAATCTGAGACTAACAGTTAAATTTACAAATCTGACACATGCTTTCATGAATATTACAGTGAAAGAAATATCAAGTGTAAAAAATAATAATAATTAAGTTAATTCCAATTTAAACAGTAGGTTTTAATGTAGCAGACCAACTTTCACATAGGATTTAACAGCTACTATTAAATTTCTCACTATTAATGAGAAGACTCAGATTTAGTATCCTACAGTGAAAAAATAATAATGAATCATCTAATATTATTTATTTTTAAATGAAAGCATTATAGATTTCATGAATAAGTTTGCAATATATAAAAATATCAATGTATAGCAGAATAACACCTTATAAATAATTATAATGATGTTTAGGCTGACATCTTTGCCGTGAGAATTAGTTATAGACAGTATAAGTATCATCTAAGATGCTACATTAAAAGTGACTTACAATATAAACAACTAAGAAGCTGATTCCTGAATATTCTATACATTTCAAAACCAAAAAATAACTGTTGTCAAAGAAGAGCATGGTCTAATTGTAGTATAGGTATTGCACATAGATAAGTCATAACTAATATTTAGAATCAGGGTGCAAAACATAATACTTTATTTCAAAGACAATAAACAGATTATACCCAGGCCTTATTCTGCACACTGAAATTGTGAATATATTGTCAGAGATTTAACACAAAGGTGCCTTTAAAACAGTTCCTTGGAAGATGATTCTATTCACTTGAGCCTTTTCAGGCATCTTCCAATTACAAACAGGACTGACGTCTTCCAGAAGGAATACATTTTGGCTGCATTTTTCAGTTTAAATTAATCATGACACAAACCCAGAAATGAAAATGTCTCATAAGAATAATTCTAACTACAAACTGCACCAATGAATAACAGTGCACAAACCTAATTATATGCAACTGTGCAGCTGCAAAAATAGGTTAAATCTGTCTAAAGCTCTGAGATGATTTTTTAAAGGCTGGTTTGTTAGGCAGTGTTTTCTTAAGAAAGGCCGGGCCCTCAGTCCTAATCAGCCAATAAATTATTTCCTGCAATTATATTAAATAGAAAATTATCTTCAAATTGGGAATGTTAATTGAAAATCAAAATTCAGAGTGAAGTTTAGAAATTACATGCTGAATATAATTAGCCTGGAAAGACTTCACCTGTTTCATAAACAGGCTTCGGGTAATTCCTCAAGTGACCATTCCGGGGGGATGGGGGGGGGAAACGCTATTCTCTCAAAAAAACCAATACAGCAGATATAGCCATCATCCATCCATCTTTCCTTTCTTCCTTCTGCCATTTTTTAATTTGTTCATAAACAGAATACCCAATGTTCATATCACCTGAGAAGTGTTAAAGACAACATAAATATGCCTTATAGACTGTGAAATTGGCTTCAACAAGACAAAAATAATTTTATTACAGTTGAGCTTGCTATTATTACCCAGGTATGTTTACAGAATATAAGTACTGTACATTCATACCCTATTTAAAAACTTGCAAGGAAAGAAGCACTAGATCCTGAACTATTTTAGTTTCTTTAGTCATAACCTTTAACCTTAATTCATAACTTTTTGATCCAACCAGCAAAATACTGTCCCATTCTATGAAAAAGAGAATCAGGTTATTTGAAGGACCATCTTTTCCTGGTCACATTGACCTACCAGAACAGGGAAGAAAGCAATGCTATGGATCCCCTTTCCTTGGGAAGTACATCTAGTTAGACCAAGAAGAAGGCCTTCTCCATGGTAGCTCCCTCCCTGTGGAACATCATCCCCACAGAAATAAGATAGTCCCCCACTTAGACACTCTTCTGCAAGATCCTAAGGACCTGGTTTTGCCAATGGGCTTGGGGAACCCAGAGTGGGATGCCAACACAGTGCTAGGCTGCATTAACAGAGGGATAGAATCAAGATCACGTGAAGTATTAATACCACTTTACAATGCCTTGGTAAGACCACACTTGGAATACTGCATCCAGTTTTGGTCACCACGATGTAAAAAAGATGTTGAGACTCTAGAAAGAGTACAGACAAGAGCAACAAAGATGATTAGGGGACTGGAGGCTAAAATATATAAGGAACGGTTGCTGGAATTGGGTATGTCTAGTTTAACGAAGAGAAGGACGAGGGGGGACATGATAGCAGTGTTCCAATATCTTAGGGGCTGCCACAAAGAAGAGGGAGTCAGGCTATTCTCCAAAGCGCCTGAAGGCAGGACAAGAAGCAACGGGTAGAAACTAACCAAAGAGAGAAGCAACCTAGAACTAAGGAGAAACTTCTTGACAGTTAGAACAATTAACCAGTGGAACAACCTGCCTCCAGAAGCGGTGAATGTGCCAACACTGGAAGTTTTTAAGAAGAAACTGGATAACCATTTGTCCGAAATGGTATAGGGTCTCCTGCCTCAGCAGGAGGTTGGACTAGATGACCTCCAAGGTACCTTCCAACTTTATCATTACTATTATTATTATTATTAAGTGGCTTGTTTGACTGATGATTGTTACCAGGAGATAAGATGTTGTCGCTTTTTGTTTTTTTATATGAGATTTTTATCTTTCTAAGCCGCCCAGAGTCACTGAGAGTTCAGAGCCCATATACATTTTCTTAAATAAGTAGACAGATAAAATAAATTTAATTGCAGTTCACGGGTGGATTTAGATTCTAAATTCTGGGATGAATAGACAAACAGTTGTCTTTATACTCACATTTCCATGCATTTTCACAAAAGTTATCCAAAGAGTAGTTACTTTAGTAAACTAAAGCACAAGTCTGGTTTTCATTTGTTCTGTTTTACCTTTCTTTTTCATTTTTAAAGCAGATAAAATCAACCTTTCACTATGGGATGAAAGGTAGGATACAAAATAATAGAACAG